TATTTATTTATTTTTTCCTTTTTCTGTGTCTCTGTTCTTTTATTATGAAAGGTTAACTAATTCTAGGTCTAGAATACTTTCACTTTCCAACTTTTCTTTGATAAATTACATGCTTATATTACTCATGTTTCAGGAATTCGTACTGAAAGTCAAAACAAAGAATATGAGCTGCCATTGTTCCGCACATCTACAATTTCAAAAGCCACCAATAACTTTTCTGTCGACAACAAGCTTGGATAAGGTGGATATGGGCCAGTCTATAAAGCAATATGATTGTCATAAAGAAATCATTTAACACAGTTCATAATCTTTGAATACGAAAGACTACATAGCTAGCAAATAGAACAATATCGAAGAATATTTGCAGAAATTTTGGAGGAAATTGATATTAGTAATATGCATATTTTTACATGCATGTTACTCAGTCTGGTTTTGGAGATTACAAATTTACTGTCAACAAATTAACCACCGTGTCAAATTTTTTCCAACACCCTTACTGAGTCTAATGTTATAAACTTTCCTGTTCAATATATTCTCCTGCAATTCTGAGCAGAACTTCAGTTTTGTGCAGCTTCTCTTCTTCATTCTCATTGTCCTGTGGATTCTGCTTTCTGGCACATAACCTGAAGAACTGACAAGGATCATTAATTACTGATCAATAAACTTAACTATAACGTTAGGAAAACAGATGGTATCTTTCACGTTGCAGTTGAAATTTGAGACATGTTGTAAAGATACATTCATTAATTGGCCGACAGGATCTCTTAAAACCTAAGAAAAGAACACAAACACAAAATTAAGAATACGTCACACTTCCAGTTCCAACCAAGAATAAATAAAGTAAAATGAACTCATTACAAACCCATGAAGAAGCCAAAGATATTTTATACAAACTGGTAAATAAAAAATGTTCTATTCTATCTCTATGACATCACAGAAACAATGCCAAAAGTGTCTAGAAATTTGCTTTACCAAAAACAACTCATACTGCCAAAAAATTGTCTACAACCTAGAGCAACCGAAGTATAGATTATTTGTGAGCAGTCTGATGCATAAATTAGTTAAAAACCACCTGTGGATTTTACTTAAATCATCAACTATGGAGATGAATTTGATGACTCTGAGACTGAAAATGACTATAACCACTTCGAAAACCTACAAATCGAAGAGTTCGAGGCGGGAGTTGAGGTCGAGCGCTTGAAGCTTGCTACCGGCGGAGAGGCTGTGCTCGAAGATGGCGATTGCTATCGTGAAAATAAAAATCAGTATCGTTCCTAACTCTCGAACTGTGCTAGTTTTCGAAATTTACATTACACGTTGCAAAAGTTCTATAATTTACAACTGCAGAAGCAACGAAGCATAGATTTATTTTTCTTATTATTTGGAGGTAAATATCTTGGAAGGACATGGGGAGAACAAGGAAGGAAATGGTATGACAGCAAACAACAAAGAGTGGAGGTTATATGAGAACTGGAATATACATTTTACATCTAGGTTCTTTATCCTACGAAATACTGCCAAGAAATCAATACCAATTGATAACTGGTACGTAGGCCCTAAAATTATTTCGATTAAAGGAAATCCACAAATTTTCGAGATTTTACTTTTGAAAATAATACCTTAAACTTTGAAGTAAAGTTTTTGCAGCAGAAGCCTCTTGCATTGCTTCCATGGCAG